TGATTGGACTATGCATAGACTCGTTAGTCCAGCCAAAATGTACCTCCATAATACCAGCATAGTTCGGGAAGGGTGGAAACTGGACTTTTATAGTCAGTTAACTCACTTGCCTCGGGGAGATGAAAAGGTGAGGCAACCTAGGTGGGGCTCTTTAGGGTTGATGGAATAATATGTCCTTCGTTATATACATGCTTCACTTATAGTGTTCACTCACTTTATTCTAATTAATTTTGATTAAACACTATATATTAAACATTTTGACACGTGAACTCATATCACTTACATTCACCTTAAGTTACGTGAACATGGTTCATATCAGCTAATTAGTAAACTTGTCTCTAGCAATGCGTGACTGCTGAATTATCTGCCGTAATGGTAACCTCCCAAAACCCCTACATCCCATTTCCCCTACAGCTTAAGACAACAAAGTTCACGGTCCATGGCACTGCTAATCCCTAGTCTATTACCTATTTCATACAATGGAACAACCCAAGAAATACGACTAGATTGAGATAAATATTAAATTACGATTACGATATTATTCAAATTTCATAATACATTATAATAAAATGTTCATTTTTCAAAATTCATAATACATTATAATAAAATGTTCATTTTTCAAAATGCATAATACATTATAACAAAATGTTCATTTTTCAAAATTCATAATACATTATAATAAATTTCATCTCAAATGTTCAATTCACTCTTTATCCCAGCCTGAGGAAATGGCCAACCGCATCTAGAAACTGCATTGGGGATTTCACCTCTCTATTCAACTCGTCTATTCAAGACGGTTCTCCACCTCTCTGTACACTCTCTTCCTGCCTCTTGGAGCTGCTCCAAAGTCGAGCTGTAAAATCTTAGCTCGTTCTGCCTGTTCCACCTTCCTGACTACCTCCACAAATCAGTAGATGTTGGGATGTCGGTGAGGGAGACCTCGGTTGAGTCGGTTATAAAAGCCTTCCAGGTTGTTGTTCGTCCTGGGACCTGTTTTACCGTGATGGTTCCACAGTGGTAGGGGGAATCGTGCTCCGTGGTCGACCCAGGTAGTGACGATGTAGTCGTTGAAGGCGACAGCTCTCGGTACATCTGGTGTGGTGTCCGTTGCGTCAACCCACGTGTCCTCTGTATCATTCCTTATCACGGTTCCTACTGTCGTGAGTCTTCCTCTACATGTGGACTTGACACACTACCAGTGTACGCAAGTCAGTCTCTCGACGTTCTTAGTGTGAAGATAAACATCAAATAGGACTTGGGGCTTTCCTCTCTGTGACATAACAAACTCAACATAGCGAAGCCCAGACATGTTGATGTCATGTTAGTACTTACTTACTTACTTACTTTGGAGATTTAACGTGCGCTTTCCGACTGATGCGTATTTCGCACACGGGCCCGGCCAGGCCATTTAATGTGTTTCCGAAAGGGGCGAAGGTGGTCTGTGCAACCCAAGAGGGGGGTTTTAGGGGTTGCTTATATAGAATTTGGGAATTTTGAGATTTGGAATAGATGCCGATGGGATTGGGGAGGAGAACTAAGGGAGCTGGGTATGGTGGATGTTTGTTTGTTTATGTGATTTTGATTTGGTGAGTTATTGTGTTTTTAGATGCGTTTTATTAGTTCCGTTTTGATTAAGAATACGCCTAAGGCCTTGAAGTTTTCTAGTTTATTTTGTGGGTTTAGTATTGCTTCTAGAGTTAGAGCCTTGTTTAGATTGAGGGTGGTTTGTAATGCGGTTCGATGTGTTAGGTAGTGTGTGCAGTGGATGAGTGCGTGTTCTGGGGTTTCTGGTTGTTTGCAGTGTGGGCAGTTACCTGTAGTGTGTTTTTTAAATTTTTTTAGGTGGTTATTTAGGTTGGTGTGTCCTGTTTGGAGTTTAGTGATTACTCTGTCGATTTTTTTGGATGGATGGAGAATTTTTGGTTTGGTTAGTGGTTTGCTGAGCACTTTTTTGATTTGGCTATTTGAGTTTAGATATAGGTTATGCCATTTTTTGGTGATTTTTTGCTTGTTTACACTTTTAATTTCTGATTTTGAGATGGGTAAGTTTAAGCTTATTTCTGGGATTTTGAGGGATAGTTTAGCTGCTTTATCGGCGTTTTCATTACCGTATATTCCTACGTGGGCGGGTATCCACAAGAAGGTTATTTGTTTGCCTGCCTTAGTTAGGTCGTTGGAGCTTTTAAGTATTTGATTTATTAATTTAGGTCGGTTTTTGGTATTTTTGTTTTGGAGGGCTTGCAGTCCACTTAGGGAGTCGGTAAGTATTAGGATTTTTTTGGTGGTTTTTGGATTCTTGATTATGGAGGGCTGAGGCCATGCCCATTAGTTCTGCCGTGAATATTGATTGGTTGTTTGGGAGTCGGAAGGATTGTGTGGTTTTAGTTGGTTGTGTGGTATGGACTCCGAAACCTGTGTGTTTGGAGGTCGGATCTGAGGATCCGTCCGTGTAAATGTGACACCAATTTGGCCAATTTTCGTGTATGTATGCTAGTGTGGTAGTTTTAGCTATGTTTGGGTCGGTTTGTTTATTTATTTGGCTAGCTAGTGTTGTGTCTATTTTGGGTATTTTAAGTTTAGGGGTGAAGATATTTGATTGTTTGCAGTTTTGTTTAAGATTTTTAATTTGGTGATCATTTAGGTAGTTTGTTATTCTTTGGGATATTGGGGTAAGTAAGGGGTGTTTACGAGCTAGAGCTTGGTTTTTGGGGCTGATGTTTTGGTTTATTAAGTTTTGGATGAGAGGGTTTGATTGGGACGCGGCCCAGAAATTTAAGCTTAGCTGTTCCCTGCGTAGACTTAGTGGCATTTCTCCTGTTAAGGCCTGAAGTGAGGTGTAGGAGGTGCCATGTTGGGTGCGTGTAATTAGTTTGAGAGCCTGATATTGTATTGAGTCAAGTTTTTTAGATAGAGAGTTGTTTAGGGTGTTGTATATGGCGCAGCCGTAGTCTAGTTTTGATCTAATTAGTGATATGTAGAGAGAGAGGAGGGTATCTTTGGATGCTCCCCAGTTAGAACCAGTTAGGCATCTTAGGGTGTTTAGGTCTTTACTGCATTTAGTTGTTAGGTTTTGGATGTGAGCATCCCAGGTGAGATGTTCATCGAAAATAAGTCCTAAGAATTTGGTTTGTTTTTGAAATTTGATTGTTTGATTGTTTAGCTGGAGGATTGGGGAGGCGGGTTTCATGTTTTTATGTTTGAATACTATTCCTGTTGTTTTTTCTGAGTTAAGGGAGAAGCCCCATTTGTCAGCCCACTGTTGTATTTTATTAAGAGATTTTTGGAGTAAATTTTGGACCATGTTCATGCTTTTAGTGCGGATCCAGATGGCTCCATCATCCGCGAATTTTGATGTGTTTACTTTAGGGGATAGGCCCTCGAATAGATCGTTTATCATTATATTGAAGAGGGTGGGGCTGAGGATACTGCCCTGTGGAGTACCATTTTCTAGGGGACATTGGTCCGATAGAGTTTGGTCTATACCCACGGTTATTTTACGATTGTTTAGGAAGTCCTGGATGTATAGTTTATTATCTGACCTTTGAGTCCTATTTTTTTAAGTTTTTGTATTAGCCCATCGTGCCATACCATGTCGAAAGCTTTAGAGAAGTCTAAGAAGATGCCTGTGGTATATTGTTTATTTAGCTGTCCTGTCTTAATATCTTGTTCTAGTCGGGTGAGGTTATCTAGGGTTGAGCGGCCAGGAGTGAAACCGCTTTGATCTGGGTTTATGATGTTATTTTGGGTTAAGTAATGTTGTAATCTATTTTTAGCCATTGATTCCATTACTTTTCATAAGTTTGAAGTTAGGGATATTGGTCTATATGAGTTAGCTTGATTAGCTGGTTTATTAGGTTTAGGGATTGGTATGACTAGGGCCTGTTAGTCAGTTTCAAGTATCTATATACTAAACCTAGCCATCTCAACTGTAAATCGTCCATCTCAGTTTCTCAGTGTAATAATTGTTTCTTCCTATTGTTATTTTTGTAATTTTTAAAAATTGTCTTCTCATCATATAGGCATCTTTCATTACACTTACATTATTTAAAAAAACAACAACTTCCCCTAGTCCCCTAAAGCTCTACCCCTTTCATTTCTACTACCTCTACTCCAGACCTTAATCTCTCCTTTAGGTGAGTTCATAATGCCAGACAGGTAAATGCCGCGTGTTGTTTTAACTAATTGTAGGGGAACTGGGTTGTAGGGGAAATGGGATGTAGGGGTTTTGGGAGATAACCGCCGTAATCCGACTAATGCAGATTAGATTTAATTAGACTTAATTAATCCATATAATCTGCCGGCAAAGTGAGAACAAACCGACCTCACATCAGCCTGTGCATTCCCACAAACTATCATAATTAGCGTAAAGGATTATAGTCCGTTTCAAACTTCCCTCACTGGACATCTGAACTTGCTGTTTTCGTTGGTTTTCGTTCTGTAAAGTTGTCCATAGGACTCCTTGTAACTGCAATACCTCAAACCACAGGTAGGTAGATCAGTGGTTACTCGATATTTCAATAGCAACAGTCTGTGAAACATTCTGTCTTGTTGGCAAACAACATTTTTCTAGCATTTCCGACAGTACTTCAGCAAACTAAAACTTTCAACATTAATTATTATAACATCACCTGATATCTTCCGGTCCTCTCCATAAGCAGAATCAGTAGTACACCGGAATCACGAAAGACTGTTAAACACGTTGAATTTAATCACAAAATCCGTTTTCAAGACTTGCAGTGGTTAAACTAACTGATAGACTAATATGTTTTCAATGCCAGTCCCGTATAATCTACTTGCAATGATGCATTCAGCACATATAGTGCTTCTTTAGCTGAGATGGACGAGTCGCTTTCATCCTACAAGTATCGGAGTCTCCGTGCTGATGGTAAGGTTGATAAAAACATTGCAAAAGACACAATCCATTATCACGAAACAGCTTTAAATAGCATCCGTATTCCGGAAACGAATTTAATATTTACACTTTTTGTATAAACCGCCATTTCCGGTTCCAACATGGCAGACGACGTGAACAGAAGTTGCTAGCTGGCATTTCTTTGCATCGAGTTAGTGCTACGCCTGGCCACATGCTAGTTTCATTAGGTTGTTGTAATGTTTCATTGTTATTTTTCTACTGCTTGTGTATATATTGTTGGTTTATCGGGTATATCCCCCGTGTGTTCGTCAATAACAATGTGACAGAAGGCCGGTTTCCGAGAGGACTGAGGAGTTTCAATGATGGTGTCGTCGCTCGTAGCTCATTTGCTGTAGCAATGAAAGGGAGTTGTTGCGGTCAGCTGATATCATGTTACTATGCCTTTTACCAATAAGAACTTGGAGCAACTCTTTGTCAACTAGGTCCAACCATGACAATCCGACACACATTTTATGACTTCTGTGGTGTGAAAATTTGCTCTCAATCACTTCGTTACTGTACAAAAATGTATCTTGTGATGGACTTTGTAAACATCTCACACCTTGTTCCCACCCTGACATTCATGCCTGTACATGATGACGTTATGTGTGGAGTCTATCCGATTTTCTGGTGAAATATCTTGTCAGCTTGGTAAAAATTATTTATGCACTTATACAATAATATCGAAATTATGAGCCTAGCTAACCGACTTTATGTATGTGTATTGTGTACATTACAAGTACAGCTTAAATATTGCCTATGTGACGTTAAATATTAACTCTCTCCAACTCATGCTTTGTAAGTACACACCTTATTGCTGTACACCTGTGAAGATCTGTGTTAGGATTGGCCTTCAGCAACCCATGCTTGTCATAAGAGGCAACTAATGGGATCTCATTACCAGACTTGCTATTTAAGTTGATGCATGTTATCAGGTTCCAATTGCATGAGGTTGATTCTTATGATATGATATTAGACCTGTGAAGATCCGGGGTAGAATAGGTCTTCAGCAACCCATGCTTGCCGTAAAAGGCGACTATGCTTGTCGTAAGAGGCAACTAACGGGATTAGGTGGTCAGACTCGCTGACTTGGTTGATGCATGTCATCAATCCCAATTGCGTGGATCGATGCTGATGTTGTCAATCACTAGATTGTCTGGTCCAGACTCGATTATTTACAGACAGCTGTCATATAACTGGAATATTGCTGAGTTCGGCGTTAAACAACAGACAAAACAAATCTCAAATTTCAATGATTGGTTAGTTTGTTTAACGCCGCAATCAGCAATATTCCAGCCATATGACGGCGGTCTGTAAATAATAAAGTCTGGACCAGACAATCCAGTGATTAATATCATGAGCATCGATCCACGCATTAGGATCGATGACATGCATCAACCAAGTCAGCCTGACCACCCGATCCCGTTAGTCACCTTTTACGACAAGCATAGTCACTTTTTTCGGCAAGCATGGGTTACTGAAGACCTATTCTAACCCGGAATCTTCACGGGTCCAAATGCCAAAGATCCTTATCAAGTGTCAATTTCACCTTTTTGCAGTGCATTCAAATGTGAAAATTGAATACACTTGTCATTTCCTTACTGTGAAATAATTGATCTATTGGGACACATAAAGCTCTTGTCGTAAGAGGCTGCTATGCTTATCATAAGAGGCGACTAATGGGATTGGGTGGTCAGACCCGCAGACTTGGTTGATGTGTGTTATCACATCCTGATTGCGTAGATCGATGTTCATGATGTCAATCAATGGATTGTCTGGTCCAGACTCGAATATTTACAGACCGCTGTCATATAGCTGGAATATTGCTGAGTGTGGCGTTAAACAACAAACCAAACCAATTGCTCAGTACAGCGTTAAACAACAAACAAACTCCCTCAAACCCAAGCAAATAGCTGGAATACTGTTGAATGAGGAGTTACCCAACAAATTTGTTTTGTACTGTATTGATATGACTTATGGCCTATTTCTTTTTGCAGGATAGAATCTGTGCAAGATATGCCTGCTACATCATGAAGTTGAAAGTGCGTTTAATCATCTTTGCCTGTGCTGCCTTCATGCTGTTTGTGTCCTTCAAGATTTTGGAACCAGAGATCAGGAGACGACAAGGGACAGGTGATGATTCTCAGATATATGAGGGTGGTGTGCCCCTTGGGGCAGTGATCAAAAACCAGGTGGAGGAGTTCAAAGTTGACTGGAAACACTCATTGGGGGGGCAGTCACCCTGGACAATTGCAGCCAAGTGGATAGAGAATAGGCACATACATCCAGAGAAGACACCAGAACTAGGTAAGTTCAACCACAAAATGACATACCTGATTTTCTGTGTGCACTTTGGAGCAAAATGTTCACATTGATGTCAAAATACCTGACATCTTCCATATGCATGAGACTCGTGAAGATCCGTGGTAGAATAGGTCTTCAGCAACCCATGCTTGCCGTAAAAGGCAGCTATGCTTGCTGTAAAAGGCAGCTATGCTTGCCGTAAAAGGCGACTATGCTTGTCGTAAAAGGCGACTAACGGGATCGGGTGGTCAGGCTCGCTGACTTGGTTGATGCATGTCATTGATCCCAATTGGGTGGATCGATGCTCATGATATCAATCACTGGATTGTCTGGTCCAGACTTGATTATTTACAGACTGCCATCATATAGCTGGAATATTGCTGAGTGCAGCATTAACAACAAACCAACCAACCAACCAGTCTCTGTTATCATGATAATGATGGTTGTATTAAAGTATCCAGAAGATTGTAATTCAGATCAAGATTCTTAATTTCATTAGGCCTTGATTTTATATTTCCTTATTCTATACTGATGATTCAAATCTCCACATCAACAAATTATTAATGTTATTCTTTTTACTCTTCACACCAATAGATATCTGCATTGCGCAATGATTTACTATTTTATCTTGGAATACTTGTGCATGTGTACTAGTATTAGATTACACATGCATGACTTTTTAGTAGTCATTATCTGTTACTGAACTGCATGTTATTTCAATAAATATAAGTAACATAAAAAAGGACTCTTGTACTTTTTCATTTTTGAAGAACCAATCAATTCATTGTGGAAACATTTTTAATTATTTAAATAAGTTACTTTGATCTTTGTAAGATCAAAATAGATCCAAATTAAAATGACGAGATTAAATTAAGAAGTATTTAATTTTTTTCAGTCAATATGTTTAAAGTCCAGTGTCATTTATCAGGCAATATGTATATTTACTGAAAATATCAGTCAAATACACGTTGCCTGATTATAGACACTGACTGTAACATATATTAGTATAATCTGTTATATGTAAAAAACAAATACCTTAAATAAATGTATTTATCATATAATGGGTAGGTTTCTTGGCAGGATAAAGCCAACGGATAAAAACGATATCCGTTGGGGTCATATGCGGATAGAGATGCAAATATCAAAGGTCAAGTAAGGACTACTTTCAGTGTTTATAAACAAACATGGCGTCACCCTTGTCATTCGGCGATCGAGTCAGATTTAACCATCGGGAATCTGGATAAACTAAAGGGATAATTGCTATCATTATCTAAAGAACAGTCTAATATACTGAAAATCAGTGTCCAACTGTGACGTAGCTAAGGCATTTTATAAGTTTTGGCAACTTTGGAGATATAAATTTCGAAACAATTTTGCGAGGGCACTAGGCCCTGCCAAGCGGGATCAGTAGCCATATCTGTGCTTGTTGACCCCTGCGGCTTGAAACCTTTTCAACAAATTATAATACTAGGATTTGGCCGAAATATGTTTGAATTGTTACCGTGACAGGACAGGCCGACTGTCAACAACGTCTGAACGTGGCCGTGACGTCTCATAGATTAGGGTTAGAGTAGCTTCCCTTTGACAAATGGCAGTTACTCTAGCGGACAGACTGATGGATTGCCGCGAAAGGCAAGAAAAAACAATTGGTGTTTTGCGTATATGTTAATTCGTCACTGTATAAGAAACCGATTTCAGTTGGAACTATATTGGCTACTGTCACTGTCCGACTGACACATCACTTACCCTGTGACGTAATAAATATTAATGCGCGCATTCCAGGAAAACTCGCAATGTTTCGGTAATGTTTGTGAAAGAGGGAAAGCTATTTTCAAGCACAGAATTAAAGAATGACATTATATGATTAAGAGGTTATCACGCTTGTGTGTTTGGGGATGGTAAATATCCTGTATTAGGAATAAACACTATGTATTTAGCTCGCCAAGGCTCGCTAAATACAATGTTTATTCCCAATGCAGGATATTTACCATCCCCAAACACACTCGCGTGATAACCTCTATTTATCTACATTAAATGATTGTGGGGTTCAATTTGCATTTATGTCATGATCAGAATATTTGATGATAAACATTCTAAAATCATATTTGCTATATGATAATAATATCTAATAAATAGACTTAATACTCCAGGTGCCTTGAACAATGTTAAAGTACTATTCAATGAAAATCAGGATACATAGCTACAGCAGGTTAGTGTATGGGTTGTAAGGAAGATAACTTGTCAACATAATAATAAATATTATGTTTCTAAAACAAGAAGATGATTTACACCTATTTTTGTATCTTCATGTATGTACACATTGTGGGGTAGTCAGTATGATTTGTTGTTTGTTGGGACAAATCTCAATTTACTTCTATTTTAAGAGCCTGAGTGTCAGAATTCTGTTAGAAATGATGGATCAATGAATTAACAGCTGTGATGACTCAAAGCACTAAATGATGGGACACATTCTATAAGCTATTCTATTCTATAAGATAAGGGACAGAATGATATAGGTAAATCTCTTATTTCAAAGTATGATGGCTGGTATGTATATTGCAACTGAGTAGGGCCTAACTGATTGCATGATTGATGCATGGTAGATTTTCATTTGGCATATTTCTCAGATGCATCAGATGTAAAAATAAAATTGATATAAAAGTGACATTTAAAATCAGTTGTTTTATTCTGAATGTTATTTCTTTGTCAATTATTTGTAAAGGTATGGGTGTATACAAATAATAGATCAGTGGTAAAGGTCTGTCAAATATGTCTGTGTGCTGCAAATGTAGGCATATCTCAAATTTATTACATTGAAGTCCATGGTAGTATGAGAACTCGTTAATATTTGAATGCTTGGAATTGTCGTGAGAAATAGCAAAAAGGCTGATAAATAAAGAGTTTGCATTATTTCATCGATGTGATATGTTAACCCAGACTGCCTCACTGTTTTCTGTCATAGAAAATACCGTGGCAATATACCGTTTTTCATGGCGTATTTCCTGCTGTCTTCCATCGTGACAATTCATCTGTTAGTTGAAGACTCAACAAATGTTGAAATGCTAAACTAATAAGCACTACAAAATAAGTGTTAGTTAAAAACATTCAGTAGTAAACTGCTGTTTTTGAATGAAGGTGCAACAGGATAACGTTTCAGCTCGGCATCGTCTTGAGACTAGTTGTTGCAGTGCACTTTCATCAGGGAACCAGACCGGAAGCAAAAAGTGGACCATTGCTTATATCATTTCAAAAGGAGATTTTTTTCCCTTTGGAACAAAAAGATCGCCTATTGTTGACATAACACCAAGTAATACCAAGACATACGCCAGCCAATCTATTCTGTTAGATAAACATGCTACTCTTACTGCAATGACAATGACTATAGTTTAAAAAACACTGACTGACACGAGCTACCATTTCATCATGCTCTTTTCAACAAACATAACACCTGCAAAAGTGACCCGTTAAGATTCCGGGTTAGAATAGGTTTTCAGCAACCCATGCTTGCCGTAAAAGGCGACTATGCTTGTCGTAAAAGGCGACTAACGGGATCAGATGGTCAGGCTCGCTGACTTGGTTGATGCATTTCATCGATCCCAATTGAGTGGATCGATGCTCATGATATTAATCACTAGATTGTCTGGTCCAGACTCGATTATTTAAAGACCGCCGTCATATAGCTGGAATATTGCTGAGTGCGGCGTTAAACAACAAACCAACCAACCTGCAAAAGTAGCTTTGATATTTGGCAATCTTAACAGGGTTTACGTAGTTGAGGTTATGTGTATATATATATATATATATATATGGTGTTAATGCTTTGGAGCTATGGTGCACATAATCAGATAATACTGTATGAACCTAAAACCATGAATCTGAACATTTTAATGTCACATTAATGCTCATTTGTTTTTTCCACAGGAGCAATCTTGCGAGAACTTGCAACCAGACCAATAATTGCTGCTGATGTTGGATTCAAAGGGACTCAACTAAAGCTGTCTTTAACTCTAAAAGGGGGTCAAACTGTGGCCTTTAAACCAGAATGGTGTGTTATTTTTGATTGTTTTTTTATTCTCAGACTCTCATTACCAGCAAGTCAGGATGGTATGATCTCATCTAGTTAGTATATGCTGTGCCCTATGGGGTAAACATGTTAGAATTGGTCCCCAACAAGCTCTGATTGTCATAAGAGGCGAGTTAATAACCGATTGAGTAGTCAGGCTGTGTGATTGAGCACACGCATGCATGCACTCATGCACATGCACAGCTCTGATAATGGTCAATACTGTACTCATATGATTGAAAAGATATCTGGAGCACTGTTTATCAGTGTATAATGCTTTCGATTTTTAGCTCTTTTGTCCTGAAGGGATATGTGAGCATTACATGTGATTGCAAGTTGTCAGTCGTCCATTAAGTGTTCTTTTCTTTTGTTTCTAATCTGCAAAATGGATATAAAGATCTGGGGTAGAATAGATCTTCAGCAACCCATGCTTGCCTTACAAGGTGACTATACTTGTCGTAAGAGGCAACTAACGGGATCGGGTGGTCAGGCTCGTGGACTTGGTTGATGCATGTCATCATATCCCAGTTGTGTGGATTGATGCTCATGTTGTCAATCACTGGATTGTCTGGTCCAGACTCAATTATTTACGGACCGCCATCTTATAGCTGGAATATTGCTGAGTGCGGCGTTAAACCACAAACAAACAAACCAGACCAATGAAGATGAAACTTCATATACTTGTTGTCACCAATAATGTCACCTGAAATTGTTCAAAAGATTTAAATCAAATTGTTAAGATGTCCCTTTGTGACAGCTATTTTGAGTACTTATTTATGGGCATTATCTTATGCAGACATTTTTGGTTCAAAAATCAAAATGTAACAAAGTTTGGCATATATATGTGTGTGTAGCTAGTGAACATGTTGCTGAACTCGCTCTACATGGTTTTTTTAAGTTTTACTGGTACATGTATATGGTCAATGCTCTTAAATTCTCTCAGAATGCAATTCTGTCTCTGTAATTATATTCTCTGAAATTGCCATACCCGCAAATGTGAACATAAAACTATCAATAGCCTCAATATATTATATATATGCCCCAATATAGGTATGCAAGAAATGATATCATAAATGGGACACCCTATGCAGGACGAGATCGACACAATGCAGAAATAGCAGCTTTCCACCTTGGAAGGTAAGACAAATATTTTAATAGATTTTAACTTTAATTACAAACCTTGTCTGTTTGGAAATGTTTAATTGGGTTTGACAGCAAGTGTTTTTGGTATGTTTATTACAATTACATCTTTGAATCAAAGATATCTTAAGCATACCGGTAATCTGTGCGCTATTCAAAGGCATTTGTGTAGATCGATGCTCATGATGCCAGTCACTGGATTGCCTGGTCCAGATTCGATTATTTACAGACGGCCATCATATAGTTGGAATATTGCTGAGTGTGACATTAAACAACAAACAAACAAACAAAATATAAGGGAATTTATATTGGTATTGGTCCCGAGCAACCTTGGTCATAAGACGTGATGGTAGTGGTCATTGATCTGTGGCCTGGTTGATCAGGGATCATATCTTGTCTTCGGCGACATTTTTTTTATTTCTTGGTTTACGGATGTGTCGCTCTTTCAAAGTCCAAATGTTAAAAAAAAGATAAAAATGAAAATTACCCTTTAGGCGACACTTTTTTTATTTCTTGGTTTACGGATTCTAAACTCATTTCAAAAGTGAGGCAGGCCAATTTAAAAAAAGAAAAGAATTTTGTCCTAAAAAGTATGAAAAAAAATATCCTGGAGTAGCAGAAGTAAAATAACTCAAGTTTTCAAGAACATTTTTTTATATCCCTGGCACTCAGCTTGTGCACAAATGGCAACATAACAATATTCATGTCATGGGTGGAAATGCATGAAAGACGCTGTTATTTTGGCAGCATTGGCAACGTTTAACTCTTTCAACACCAGCCAACCAGAAGATAACTTCTGTGACACCAAGTTCCCAGAGACTCTTGTGTGGCTGCCTTAAGTCACGTGCTTAAATTTGACCAATCACGAACCTTGTAGCAGATTTTTTGGTGAAACAATATAAGTTTTTTTAATGTATACCGACATGGCAGCCTTCGACCTATGTGTTATTCATACGAAGCTTCGAAAACGGAGGTATTTCCTCATGTTAGTGTGCGGACAGCCACTATCAACGGGAAGTGGGTGATGACCGATATTATTTGTAATTCTTTTTAAAATAATGTTCCGACTACGTTAACAAATGACAATAAAAAAGAAAATGGTAAGTGGATTTTATGAAATCTAATTTGCCGAAAATCGTTAAATTTTTAGCTTCATTGGTCCTTAATCTAGACGTTATGAATGTTTTAAATTACATTATGTTTATCTAAAATGAACTTGATTAAGTTGTTAATGAATTATTTCGAGAATGTAATACACATAACTTTCATATTTATAAACAATAGGATTAATTAGACCTTTCAAATAGTGTATGGCCAAACATGTAGTAGCAAAGATGTTTTACAAGCAGATAATTTCTGTAATAAATGTTGGCTTCATCTATCACACAAGAGTCTCTGGGAATTTGGTGTCACAGCAGTTATCTTCTGGTTGGCTGGTGTTGAAAGAGTCAAATGTCGTCCTTGCTGCCAAAATAGCAGTGTCGTTCATGCATTTACACCCATGACATGAATATTGTCATATTGATGTTTGTGCACAAGCTGAGTGTCAGGGATATGATAAAATGTTCTTGAAAAATTGATTCGTCTTAATTTCATTACACCAGAATATTTTTTTATATTTACCTAACTTTTTAGGACAAAATTCAAGTAAAAAAAATCTCTGAGGCCTTTTTTTTTTTTTTTTTTTAAATTGACCTTCCTCATTTTTTAAATGCGATTGAAATCCGTAAACCAAGAAATAAAAAAAATATTGCCTTAAATTTGTATTTTCCTAAATTCTGAGGTATTTTAACATTGCATTCAGTGCAATAATGTAAAACAAAGCATTAAAACATCTTCCTCTTTATTGGTCCTGTTGTCGGTGATGTACAAGTCACCTCTACTAAGCCATAACATTAGTTATACCTATATTAACATGACAAGGAAAATTTTATAGTTAAAAAAATGGGGCATTTGCTGCAGACTGGGGCCATATATCGGCCTCAGAGCAGGTCTAGATAAATATAGAATACTAAACGAGCTCCCGTGTAATACCAATTTTATGAAACGAGTGAATAGTTCTGGTATCTGACGAGCGAAAGCGAGTCAGATACCACAACTATTCACGAGTTTCATAAAATTGGTTTTACACGAGAGCGAGTTTAGTATTTTATTTATTACTTGTCATTTATAATGTTTTTATAATTATACTGTTGAGTGTAAATAGACACCTACACGATCCATGGCATAATCCAATTGAGTTTAACAGAGTAATACTTCAAACACGTCAAAAGTTGAAACGTATGAATTTAATATCATACAATGGTCCACCTTTAGAATTCAGGCGTTTGTCCCACAAAATTATCGCAGTGCTAAGGCTGTCACAACTCACATAATTTAACTTCTAAGGGTACGACTGTCGTTGCGCTAGAGTACGATCGTCTTGTGGAACGGGGCCTTGCAGCTCAAAGTTTACAATCACGTCACAATACCCGATGACGTAATTTGTTGAATTTTGTTGCAAGATCCATCGGCGAAACAATGCCATGTGACGTCAGCCTAGCAACAAGGTCGCTGGGGTCATCGAGTGTGCATAAGCTCCTCCCAGTGATCTATCATCTCCACACACAATGCCGTTGAATAAGCCAAGGGATGTTGAGAGCTTTCAATATTTGTTCGTGAAACGTGTTCCGAGAGTACATAAGCACGCGTTTTGGTATTACACAATGTGTAATAAAGCTGTATGTTTATTAAACGGGTCATCTCTTCACGGGCAAGTAATAAACATCTGTTGATTGCATGTCATTGTATCCCAATTGTGTGGATTGATCCTCATGATGTCAGTTACTGGATTGTCTGGTCCAGACTCATGAAAAATTGCATTATGTGAAACCCTGAGAAAGGAAGTGAAATTGCCATACACGGCCCATGCCCATTTGATTGACTGTATTGCAGACTGCTACATTTCCGCCGCACTCCCCTGGCAGTGGGAAGAAGGGTGAACCTCCAGACTGAGATCATGCCTGTAGCCACGCCAGAACTACTCACAACCTTCTTCACCAAAGGTATGAATGCTGGAACCTGGGAGCATGATGTCATCATTGTTTTGTATCTTCATCTGTGGGTTAATCCTGGCAGATATCTTTACTCTCCAACTTCAGTGTTTCTCAGACTTATTTCATGAAGTAAATTAAGAGCTTAATCCTATGAATGAAAGTAAAGGAGTTCTTTTCGTAACCCTTGATTATGTACAGGCCACCATCACATGGCTTGATTATTGCTGGGACGGTTGGGTAGCTTTGTGGTTAAAGCGTTCGCTCGTCAGGCCGAAGACCCAGGTTCGATTCCTGACATGGGTACAATGTTTGAAGCCCATTTCTGGTGTCCCCCGCCGTGATATTGCTGGAATATTGCTTAAAGCGGCGTAAAACCATTCTCACTCACTCACTCACTTGATTATTGCTGAGTGCAACATGAACATACATGCACGCATACATATATGCACACACAGGAAGTATCCCAGGATTCCATGTGGCCCAATCACCCCATTGCTGGTTGTAAAAGATGACTAAATTGGGAACCCATGTGGATTCTCGGTTATAATTTGTCCTTATCAACCTATGCTGGTAATAAGAGGTGACTCTATCATGTGTCTATAGATCTTGTTGACAGAGTGTATTACTTGTGTGGTGTCCATATACCCTGAGGACGTGGATGATTGCTCATAATATCAATCACTGGATTGTCTGGTCCAGATTATTTGTTTGTTGTTTAATGCCACACTCAGTAATATTCCAGATATATGATGGCGGTCTGTAAATAATTGAGTCTGGACCAGATAATCCAGTGATTGACATCATAAACATCGATCCACACAATTGGGATACGATGACATGCATCAACCAAGTCAGGGAGATTGAACACCCTATCCCGTTAGTCGCCACTTACGACAAGAATAGTCACCTTTTACGGCAAGCATGGGCTTATGAAGACCTATTCTACCCCGAATCTTCACGGGTACCAGATTATTAACAAACTACAGTTATATTGCTGGGGTATTGCAGACAAACACATGTTAAATAAGACCTAAAATCACCCCTTTGTCCAATGCACATATAGTCAGTTGGATGAAATCAAGAAGGAAAGCAATGTTTTTTTCTTGTTTTTTGTGGCCCTAATGTTATAAATAAAAGGGAATCTCTATGTAAAAATGACACCTGGATCCTCCTTAACTTTTAGCAGGGTATCAGTGTTGAGAATGTAGCATGAAATTCAAGGGGTCCTTGGCAAAAGTTTAAGATTTAGGGGGTCCCTGCAGATACCAATATTATTGAGTCAAACTTTAAGGACCCCAGGATCCCCCCTAATTTCTAGAACTGACGTTTTGATAAGGGACACAATTTTATGTGATTATTTTTCACTTCGTAATAATATTGCATTTGGAACAACTTCGTTACAGGATATCCCTGCAGTAGCAAAAACAGATATGCAATACATGACAGAGTCAGGCAATCCAACAGCTTTTTCCAACAGCTTAAATACTAATGGGATCGGGTCTTCAAGTTTGCTGACTTGGTTAATGCATGTCATCGTATGAAAATTGTGTAGATCAATGCTCATGATGCCAATTACTGGATTGTCTGGTCCAGACTCAATTATTTACAGACCACCATCATATTGCTGGAATATTGCTGAGTGCAGCGTTAAACAACAAACAAACAAACAAATCCAACAGCATAAATTTAACTCAGAATGAACCTTGAAAACAGTACTGTTCTCAGCCAAATTGATGAATCAAGGGTGCTGAATGTTCTCCCTTTGCATATACAATGCCTGTTTGTTTGTTGTGTTATTGTTTATACTGTACTCAGCGAAATCCGGGGTAGAGTAGGTCTTCACCAATCCATACTTGCCGTAAAAGGCGGCTATGCATGTTGTAAAAGGCGACTAACAGGATTGGGTGATCAGGCTCGCTGACTTGGTTGATGCATGTCATTGATCCCAATTGGGTGGATCGATGCTCATGATATTAATCACTGGATTGTCTGGTCCAGACTCGATTTTCTACAGACAGCAGTCATAAAGCTGGAATATTGCTGAGTGCAGCGTTAAACAACAAACCAACCAACCAAACAGACAGCCGTCATATAGCTGGAATATTGCAGAGTGTGGCATAAAACAACAAAGCAACCAACCAACCAACAACTGTACTCACATGTTAGAAATGGTCTCAAGCACCCTATGCTAGTCTTAAGGCAATTCAATGACTCAGGTGGTCAGGCTCATTGTCTTGGCTGATGGGGTCTCAATGCTCATGATATCAAATGGCTGGAATGATGCTAAGTGTGTGTTAAGCAAATACACCCACACCTAACTAACTAGACAATCCTCTTTGCTCCTAGGTGACAACAACTGTTTCTATGGCAAGTGCATGTTCTGCAAGGGTCCAGATGACGGAGTATGTGCAAAAGGTCAAATACTAGAGGGTACTATAATCTTGTGGCTGCCGAGTGAGTGGACCCTGAAAACAGTACGACATCCGTGGTCCCGTACTTATTCAAGAAAACGTATAGCAAAGTAAGTTGTGCTTACATACAGTTTTCCTATATGGGAATATGTAAAATATGTTTTTGAATGTTTTACCTTTTGCATTTGCACATCTTAAGCTGATTTTAACCTGTCCCCTCTGACCAGATTTTAAACATGGTTGCCATGGCAACCATATTGAAAACATCATTTTTCACCCATTGCTCGAAAATATTATTATGAAATATGTTGGTACCGTATTTGATGTAATAAGCGCCTCGCTCTAATAAGCGCAATGGCGATATTTGCTAATATATTAGCACATAAACAATTCCAAAAGGCACCCCTTCCAATTGATGAACGTACACAAAACTTGTTCATTTGTGTATTATACACACTTGTGTGTAATATGCACCCATAATTATGGGCTCTTCAGTCCTGTGAAAAGTTACCTCTCGTGTATAATAGACACAGACTTTTCTTTAGTATCATTTCAGGCTGTCAGTATATATTGTTGTCAAGATCCTTCATCGGAAATAGAATATCAACAAATCCATACTCAATTACCCAAGTTATATCTTTTGTTACACTATTTAAGTGTTCATTGTATATCTGGACTTATGTTTGTAATCTTTTTTATTAATTATATTAAAAATTTCATTCAATAATGTTTACTTTTATTTCGGTGGTATCATGTATCCCTACAATGCTTACTACTTCTGTTTACCCCATTCCATAGGGCCTGCTTTACCACATACCGCGACAACGCCAACTTATATTATTCAATGCAATAATGATCATATTTTCTTCTGTTTCCTTGCTTACGAGTTCACACATCAAGATAAACATATGTCACTGTTAACTTTCAATGATAAAATATCTCAAAATGTGTCCTGTCCAAACTTGATTGTTTACAGGCTGTCATCATATTGCTGAGTGCTGCATTAAACAACAACATTGAACAAACAAACACACAAACAAACTACTAAGAAATTCTGCTGCAGAACCTTTGTACCATCGCAGAACTTGGAAAATACTTGTGCAGAATTTGTCAAGCTGTATGAAACTGTGTTTTTCCAGATGGGAAACAGACTCGGACTACTGCAGCAAGGTCCTGATGGTGAAGACTTACAGTTCAGGCACCTTGCTTCTTGATCTCATCGATACAGCAATATTTGACTACCTCATAGGCAATGCTGATCGCCATCATTATGAACACTTTAGCCACAGCAAAGAAAACATGGTGCTTATTCTCGACAACGCCAAAAGGTAACACTGAATCATTTGCGACCATCATGAAATCAGAATACACAGACGATTTCAAATTGAGACTTTTTTGTATACTCCCCAGGGAGTTGATAGTGATAACTGGAATGAAAATGGACCTGCTGGTTGAGAACAAATAAAACCGCATTTGAGCAGATACAGTTCCGGGATACCTGCGATGTATAAATGTATTGTATACATTTTATATGATAATAATATAATGCGGAGATACAGTCATCATCTGGTCAGTCTGTCCATCCGTCCATCCATCCGTAATTTGTTGCTGGAGCTTAACTTGTAAACCATGAAAGTTTTTTCATCCTAACTTGGTGCATGTATTAACCAGGGGCTGAAGTGGTGCTTTTGTTATTTAGAGAAATTCTCTCATCAAGTTAGACTAACTGTAACAGTCAGATGATTTCTTCTTTAAAATTTGTGGGGGCCAGGGGGATTTGTCATCTTCTAATGACTCTTGTTTTATTTAGTAATAACTCATGTCAGATATGTTTGTTATGTTTTCAGCTTTGGTGATCCTGATATGGATGAAAGATCAATTTTGGCTCCACTTTATCAGTGCTGCAGGTAAGTGTTTTATGTGTATGTCACTTTGTGTCTTTGTGTTCATTCTGGAGTGTGGCAATTCCATGTCTATTTCAATTATTATTTAAAAATTCACATGTGTAGATAAAGGATGCATAAGTAGATAAAGGAGTATTGGTGGCATTGGTGGGGTAGGATATACTCACTTTTCAGCAAACACCTGGTATCATATCTATTTGATGTGATTCATATGATAATGGAAAAGGATTTGTCGTTTTAATTTCAATACTGTAGTTTACGTTATGTAAAGCATTATATTCTTCAAAGCGCTCTATATCATGTGGGGGCACGGGTGGCCCAGTTGTCTAAGGCGCTGCGATTCGCTGTGCAGAGTTGCATCCCTTGGACATGCCAGAAACATATGATTGTGGGTTCGAATCCCGGTTCGCCCTGATTATGTTTCTATGTTTGTCAGCACCATACCCGTGCTCGTGGGTTTCACCGAAGTGGTAAACGTCTGAGACCTGCATCACTTTGGGCTTTCCTCCCACATTAAGCTGACAAGCCTTGATATAACTGGAATACTGTTAAAAGAGACGTTAAAACCAACTCACTCACTCTTTATCATGCATATGGCAGTTTGTTTACATGCGATGTGTTGGTACAATACAAAGAAAGCTCCTTTCCAATGACTTTACATTTGTCTGTTATTATTTTAAAGGGACAGTACACCTACTGTTCTGTGTGTTTATAAATCATGTTTAAATAATGTCCGAGTGTGACGGCACATGCCTGATTCACTTCTGTATTGTTTTTTAATAGAGGCAAATTGAAGAGAAAGCTCACGTGTAGTATAGGTCCAGTCTTGATTATTTACAGGCCGCCATCTTTATCTGGAATATAGAACATAGATCTATGTTGATCTATGCATCTTTGTTACAGATTACGATTCATCACATAGCAACGTCTCCTGTCTCCCTGCTCCAGGAATCAAGCTGATCTATGCTTCTTTGTTACAGGTTCCGTTTCAGGACATGGCAACGTCTCCTGTCGTCCTGCTCCAGGTATCAAGCTGATCTATGCATCTTTGTTACAGGTTCCATTTCAGCACATGGCAACGTCTCCTGCCATCCTGCTCCAGGTATCAAGCTGATCTATTCTTCTTTATTACAGGTTCCATTTCAGCACATGGAAACGTCTCCTGTCACCCTGCTCCAGGTATCAAGCTGATCTATGCTTCTTTGTTACAGGTTCCGTTTCAGCACATGGCAACGTCTCCTTGCACTCCAAGATGGTGTCCTCAGTGGGGTAATGAAGGAAATTCTGGCCCAGGACCCAGTTGCTCCCATCTTGACAGAGGAGCATCTCAAGGCCATGGACAGACGACTTCTTAACATACTCTTGGAAATGGAAAAATGTGTAGCTAAAAATGGGATGACTGGGATTGTGATGGACCACTCCTATCATTGATAGGTTGTCTCCCTTGCTGTTACCAGGTGTAGCACATGTACTTAATGAGATGTCTAATATTTCATGATGTGTCCTAGTCCACAGATTCATCTGATTAGTGTGAAACCATTTGATAGTTTGTATAGTTTAAAGCGGGTACTAAAAAATATTGTCTCAAACAAAAATCCACCCCCATGATATCATCTTCCCGAGGCAAGGGAGTTAACTGACTTTAATAGTCCAGATTCCACCCTTGCCGATCAAGGCTGGAATTCTGGAGTTGCGTTTCAGCTGGTATAACGGGTCTATGCACAGTCCAATCAAAATTGTGTAACGAACTAGACATCCGGTTCGTAAACAACATGGATTTCAATGTGCAGATTTTGGTTGACTGCTGGATTTGCAAAGCATGTGTACCGTCAACTTTGCGGCAGACATATACTTTGCTAATCGTTCATGTTTTTGATCAAGGTACTCAAGTGATTTGATGCACTTTCCAGGGTAAGACCAGTTTTATAACAGTATAGGCCTTTTTTATCAATCAGATCGTCTTAACTGGACGCTGCCATTTTGTGTCAGTTGATGCCCTTGCCACGGGAAGATGACCACCTGAATATTCAATGGTCATTCTCTTATAACGAGGCTCAACATTGAACTTTGTTTCAAAGTACATTCAAGCCTCATTAAGTGTACCAAGCTAACACATGAAATCCCACAATGGATAGTTTTGTTAAACTCCGACTGAACTAGTATTTTTTGTATGTCTTATTTGATTCTTGATACTTACTATATACTCTTTTAGGTACCATTGATTGAGTTTGGAGAGAGAATTTGATTGTATGACGTCAGAAGAAATATTTGTATAAACAATTAGGTGATGAGTTGCATTCAGGCTGCACACTTGACAATCTCTTGCTGACATTGAATGTTAATTACTGCTGTATAATTGTCAATCTTATATCAATCAGGTTTATTGTATTTATTTGCTATGATATTATTCAGCATTGATACTTCCTGTTTATGACATCCAATGTCAGTGTATCTGTGCGATCATATTACATGTTTGTGATGGAATCATACAATTTGGGTAAAGGGAATTCTTAATAAGTAGATTATTTGGCTTCATCTCTTGAATTTCTAGAGTTGAATCATGTGTCTTTATTCTGTCTTGATCTGTGTTGATATGCAATTTACCCATCATGCCAAAAAAGACAATCAAGTTTTGTTTGTGCATTATGCAGAGAAATGACAGTTGCACTTTCCTCAGAGTACTTTTCAGAGATTTAACATTCAGATGTACTGTTATTAATGGGTGTCAAACACTTTTTTACACAGATGTGGGGTTACAGATGTGGTGATGTGGTTATGTGGTACACATGTGGTTATGTGGGGGTACTGATGTGGTGAAGTGGTACACGTGTGGTTATGTGGGGGTACTGATGTGGTGAAGTGGTACACGTGTGGTTATGTGGGGGTACACATGTGGTACACGTGTTTATGTGGGGGTACACAGGTGGTTTGTGGGGGTACACATTTGTTATGTGGGGGTACACAGGTGGTTATGTGGGGGTACATCTGTGGTTATGTTGGGGCACACAGGTGTTATAAGGAGGTACACAGGTGTTATGTGGGGGTACACGGGTGGTTATGTGGGGGTACATATGTGGTTATGTGGGGGTACACAGGTGTTATGTGGGGGTACACATGTGGTTATGTGGGGTACACAGGTGTTATGTGGGGGTACACAGGTGTTATGTGGGGGTACACAGGTGGTTATGTGGAGGTACATATGTGGTTATGTGGGGGTACACAGGTGTTATGTGGGGGTACACATTTGGTTATATGGGGGTACACAGGTGTTATGGGGGGGTACATATGTGGTTATGTGGGGGTACAGATGTGGTTATGTGGGGGTACAGATGTGGTGATGTAGGGGTACACATGTGGATATGTGGGGGTACACATGTGGTTATGTGGGGGTTCACGTGGGTATGTGGGGTAACACAGGTGTTATGTGGGGGTACACATGTGGTTACGTGGTGGTACACACGTGGTTATGTGGGGGTACACATACCGGTATGTAGTAGTAATGTATTGTGATATTTGAAAGCCATGTGGTCAGATTGAGGGTGGACACAAACAGGTTTGTGGTGCAAAAGTTACCCTTTTATAAATTGAACAAGGTGGACTTCTCTATAAAGGCTGCTTTTGAAATCTCATTTCATATAGATCTCACACAGGTATATACTACTCAAAAATAGTTAAAGAACACATGACCATGACAGATTAACTATAGCAATATCATGTTGACTAGTACATATTGTTAGTTGATATAGCATTCTGTGCGCATTGAAGATCAAAACCTGTTAATTAGACCATGTAGACCATTTCCAGTAAAATACGGATTAAAATTTTTGAAGATTAACATTGGAAAGAAGTAATAGCTCTCTGGCAGTGCAGTCATTGCCAGCAGTATTTATCCAGACCATGTGGGTTCCAGAATAACAAAGTTTCAATGTACTTCTAATAACTAAGAATACTCATTGTTACTACCACAGAAAGTATTTGTTCAGTACTTATGTATTTAAGGATGTGTGGTGGCATGTTGTTGTGTTCAGTTGAGCTGGTCTGTTTTGGATTGCTGTATGACCTATTGTTACATCAAATGGGAATGTGAATATTGCCATAACAATTAGGGAATTACCTAAATTAGCATGTTTTTAACTTTTTTTCTTAAATATAAGCACATTGACATTAATAAGATAAGAATGAGATTGAATCTATTTGTGGTAAATGCATTTTTAAGAGGTTGAATATCACTACTATGTTATTTATGATGCTTCCAAGCAGACATTGGTAATGTGCATAGGAAAGTTAATCCAAACATTCTTCAGACTGATGAATCTCAGCTGGTAGAAGAATAAGAGATGGAGACAAAGAATGCATACTTAACATGTAGGTTTTGATAGCAAAAGGGGGAGTTGGAAATATGCATTCAGTAAGCTTGATGCTTGATGCAATGCAATCTTAAGCCAAAGGAACACCATCTCTGCTCAGTCACCAATGCATCCAAGGGATCTGGTTACAAATGATTGCCTTTGTGATTACCAACTTGCCAAAATACATCCATTCAGTTAGATAGTTAGGAGAACATTTGGTTTTCAGGTAAATATTTTAGCTTTAGATCTTCCTACTATTGAAGCTTTTCATGAGCTTGTGCATGGAAGGATATTGAAAAGAGTTGATTATGACCCAGGTTGGGTTTAAATTTGTTCAAGAGGCTCACAAATGAGGTTATGAGTTTTGTGCAGCATCTAAAACATGTATAATATGTAGCTCCTAATTCTATAAGCACAGGATCTTAATTGTTCACTGCCTGATGCCTTTCAAGAACAAGAACTTTGTCATTAAGTACAGCACTTGATGCCTTTTAAGAACAAGAACTTTGTCATTAAGTACAGCACTTGATGCCTTTTATGAACAAGATCTTTGTCATTAAGTACAGCACTTGATCATGTTGATGCCTTTTATGAACAAGATCTTTGTCATTAAGTACAGCACTTGATGCCTTTTATGAACAAGATCTTTGTCATTAAGTACAGCACTTGATGCCTTTTATGAACAAGATCTTTGTCATTAAGTACAGCACTTGATGCATTTTAAGAACAAGATATTTGTCATTAAGTACAGCACTTGATGCCTTTTATGAACAAGAACTTTGTCATTAAGTACAGCACTTGATGCCTTTTATGAACAAGATCTTTGTCATTAAGTACAGCACTTGATGCATTTTAAGAACAAGATATTTGTCATTAAGTACAGCACTTGATGCCTTTTATGAACAAGATCTTTGTCATTAAGTACAGCACTTGATGCCTTTTATGAACAAGATCTTTGTCATTAAGTACAGCACTTGATGCCTTTTATGAACAAGATCTTTGTCATTTAGTACAGCACCTGATGCCTTTCAAGAACAAGATCTTTGTCATTAAGTACAGCACTTGATGCCTTTTATGAACAAGATCTTTGTCATTAAGTACAGCACTTGATGTCTTTCAAGAACAGGATCTTAGTTATAATAAGTACACTGTCTGATGCCTATTAAGCACAGGACTAAGCCAAACAAAGTGCACCACCTGATTCCTTTAACAGACAGGATATTGTCACATTTGGAGCCAGGCTTGGTGACATTTAAGCCCGGGACTTATTAAATGAAGAAAATGAAGAGCAGCATCTGTAAGGCTTAGGATCTGAGGCATATCGACAGCAGTATTGACTCAGTATAATCAATATTGCTTTTCATACAATTATTTGTGTGCAAGGGATGAAAATATATCACATCAGGGCCAACTTGTACAAAGAGATCTTAGCGCTAAGATGATTGTAACTCCCATACTTTAACATAGGCTTACGATAGTCTTAGCGCTAAGATTGCTTTGTGCAAGTGGGCCCTGGTGATATAACAGTAATCAGCAAGTAATGCAGGATTGTTTGACAGGGTTCAAAAGGCTGAGATAGGAGTGATCCCAATAAGTATTTCAATCAAAAAACAATAATTAGTGGTATATTGTACTGGTAATGCTTTAAAACCAGTAATATTTCAAGAAGATACCTTTTTACCCGCTGTTCTGTTTGATGTTTCACTGATTCACAAACCTTACCATGAAACATGTACCGGTACTTCTTTTGTAAAGATATGTTTATATTTATAGGTATATATTTCTTGACTATTTACAATAGTTTCAGTATATTTATGTCCATTGTTTCACTTTTGTATCATGTTTTTCTATCATCCTAGTCTTCCATCAGTTATTACTGTGACAAGAGGGGCATGTAAATAGGCAGCAGCTCTCACTAACAGGTGAGGATACACATTCGTGAGTTGGATCTTGTTGTAATAGGAACCTTAGAGCACGGGTTTGATCCTGAGAACCTAGAAATGTAATCGGTGCAAACCGGTGTTCGAACCCACAGTCATAGTCTTCTAAGACATCTAAGATGCAACTCTGCACAGGAAATTGTGACATCTTAGACCACTGGGCCTATGTGGCACAAATGGTTAACTGTATGTGAAATTAATGAACTTTGTTCTGCAGCATGTTTGATGTTTAATAATTAATTAAGTCAGGTCATTCTCTCAATTTGAATCAAACCCTAAAACATGGAAATAAGTATTTTTTGTGCATCACATGTAGTAGTTATGTTATGTATATAAATGTATGTATTCTTAAATTGTTATGTGAACTAAAACTAGTCAAAGATTCCAATCTCATTAACATCAGATCTTTTCCCCGATACTACACCTCTCTGAGTGAAGATGTGACAACCCCATAGAAGGTCACATCACATGAATGAAATCGAAAATCTGGACACAGCACACACAAAAAAAATATTCCTTTGCTGGTTCTCCCTTTAGTATGTAGATGCCATTCAGAAAGTTCAAAAATAACGATTTATAAAATATCAAGAATAATTTGATTGTGAGGCCCTTTCATTCAAAAGTAGACATTTAAGTTTTCAGAGGGCGGAAATCAGATATCATGGCTGAATGCTTCACTCAATCTAACCTTGAATTTAGAAACCTCAACAGTTGACCTGATCATGCGACCTGGGAAGGTTGGCAGATCTTCACACACACAGATACAGTATTGGACGAAAGGATCTGATTCTAATCAGATTGTCAAAGAATTACTGCTTGTACATCATATGTTTATTTGTATGAATAATCTCTTATATTGTTATAGTTATATATTATCCTGATGTTGTTTGTGCAGGTTTAGAATTTTGTATTTGTTTTCTCTAGTAAACAAAGATTGACTGATTAAGAAATGCCATGTACCTAACAGGAGTCTTGCTGACTTTTACTAGTTTTGAACAGGCAGATTTGTGTTAATCTTTCTGTGGCTTGCTCTGGCACATCCTGAAGGGGAGGGTGCATGGTATACCTTACGTATTGGCCTGTCATGTGTTTTGGTACCCTTCATGACTTGGGGCGGTCGGGTAGTCTAGTGGTTTAAGCGTTCGCTCGCCACGTCAAAGACCCGGGTTCGATTCCCAACATAGGTACAATGTGTGACGCCCATTTCTGGTGTCCCCCCCCCCCCCCCCCCTGCCGTGGTATTGCTGGAATATTGCTAAAAGCAGCGTATAAACATACTCACTCACTCCCTTCATGATTTGGGTACAGTGGTGAACCTCAAGTTTGGGTTGGACTTTTACAGGTGGTTGCCTCAGGTCAGACTTCCTCATATGGGACCCATATTGAACACGAATATTCCGAGGATACTTTTGTCTTGTGGTGTTTTCTACTTCCTTTGATTGTATTGGCTAGTCTCTGTTTGCTACTTAATGAAAGGTACACCAATAGAAGTGAGCTGTAGTTAGTGGTGAGTCTTTCCAAACTTCAGCCACAGTATTTCTGTCACATCATGGCGGTCAGTATTAAATGTTTATGAAAATTCTAATATAAAGCAGGTCATTAAGGATTCCTCTATGGGAACCAAGGGGTTAGAATACATCTCCAGCATCCTATACTTATCACAATCTGGGACTTTAGACACTAGTCTGAGGCAAGAGTCTGGTAAAATTCTGTTTGATAGTAAGTTCAGCTGGTAACATTATCTATAGATAATAACACTTTTAGGCAAGTTCGGGCCAGTAGACTCAAAAGTTTTTCGCACAGACTGTTATCATAAGAGGAGTTCATGTCCAGGCTCAGTTTGTTTGATTTCATCTTATCGTACCCAATGGCATGGTTATTTACTGATAATATACATAAATGGTCCATCACTGGAATATTGCTGAGTGTGGTGTTAAACAGCTAACTCCAGCAATTACTGATGACCTACTATTGTCCAACAGATTCTTATAAGGAGGAATCCCAGAGTTGGTAGATTATAAAAGGTAAGGTCTGTGACTAAAGCCACAAAATGACACCAAAGTCTGGTTCCGGTAAATCTAATTTTGGACATGAAAGCTAATAATAGTCCACATGTTAACACTAAAATCTACTAAAGCTGATGTGAAGTGACATGTAAAGGCTAGTACTATTAGACTCCTAAGTATTCATTCAGAGCAGAATAAGATAAGGGACATAACTCTTCATAACTCTCGAGTTAACCCAAAAGTTTTTTGTTTGTTTGTTTGTTGTTTAACGCCACACTCGGCAATATTCCAGCTATATGATGGCAATCTGTGTAAATAATCAAGTCTGGACCAGACAATCCAGTGATTGATATCATGAGCATCGATCCAAACAATTGTCAGCGAGTCTGACCACCCAATCCTGTTAGTCGCCTTTTACGACAAGCAGTGTCGCCTTTTACAGCAAGCATGGGTTGCTGAAGACCTATTCTACCCCGGATCTTCACAGG